GGAGATCGACTGTGTGCTAGGCTTGTACTGAGTGCAGGGACACGGACACCCTCTTGGCATGTAAGTCCTAACCCTTATGTCATAGCAAATGGGAAATTACACCAGGAAAGCTGCACCTATCAAGGAATGATTTCTTTCAGTGAAATAAGGAAACGAGATGGATCTCCTGGGTGGTGGTGAGTTCAGCCCGTTAGACGGGTCCCTAGGAGGAGGTGACAGCCAGAGAGGGCTTCTAGGAAGAGGTGACATTCCAACGGAGCCCCGAAGGAGAGGAAGAGGCTAGGTTTGTGGTAACTGCTGGGCATGTCCCAGGCAGAGGGAACAGCAAATGCAGAGCCCCTGGGGTGAGCGTGGGCAGATAGAGGGAGGAGAGGCTGAGGTCCCTGGGCCACATCAGCCTCCTTAGCAACATAGGAGCCCGCAGAGAACCTTCCAGCACCACCCAACTATTTCTTAGCCTAACCCCCTGGCCTGAATGTCACTTCTGTGATCCCAGGAGGCTCCAGCCGAGTGGCCCTCCGAACTGTGCCTCAGGCTCCTCATCTGCAAAACAGAACGGAAGGAATCTTGCTCATAGGGAAGTGGGGGGACCACACTTGTGGAATGAGAGACCAGCCTGTCCCTGGCGCCGAGTTCAAGCGGCCACATCCTACGGTACAAACCGTCCCCGTTCCAAATGGGAAAACCGAGGCTCTGCAGCGTGGGGAGCCACGCGCTCCTGGGTTGAATGCGGATCTTGGAGCCGCGCAAGCAGGCGTTTCGGGCCGAGCTGCGGGTGGGGCGCGGGGGCGCACGCGGGCAGCCCGGGCGGGGCGACACCAGGTGCGGGGGCGGGACCTGGGAGGGCCGGGGCCGGGCTCCGGGGCGTCGGGCGCGCCAGTCCGGACTCCAAGGGTTGGGAGGGCCAACCGAACGCCATGGAGCAGCCCTGAAGTCGGTGTGGTGACCGGTACGCGCTGATGGCGACGGCCGGGGCCGGGGCGGCCGAGACAGGGCCGAGAGTGAGACGCGTGGCCCGGGCCGGGCAGGTGCTGAAAGTCATGCCGGGTTGGAAGATGTCATCGCCCACCAGAGCTCAGCTCGGTCCGTGCAACGTAGAAAGTGGAGAAGGAGGGCGCCCTGCGGTTCCAGTGTCAGGGTCGGGGCAGGCGAGGGCGCGGGGTCCGGTCGAGTGCCCCGTGCGGAGCAGTCTCCCTCTGGCGTCCGTCCTCCCCCGGTGGACACAGTGACCCTCCGGGCACCTGCCGTTCCGTCCGCCCCGCGGGTGAGCTGGACGGGACTCCTCCCTGCACCTCCCGAGGTCGGGCCTGCTCCCACCCCCGCCCCGAGGGACAAAGGCCGATCCGTGGGCAGGAAGCGCCCGGTGACAGATGAACCGTGTGCGAGCCCCTGCTCCCCGCGTCCCGCGCGAATGGGACCGCTCCCCCACCCCCACCCCCACCCCCGAGGCGGGCTGGGTGGAGCTCAGGTCCCAGGCACCGTCTTGGACAAAATCTTCTCCACCCGGGCTGTTTGTGGGTGAGCCTGGCCCCCGCTGTCACCAACTCCCCCAAAATAACTGTTCCTCCTGGAGGATACTCGCCTCGGGACCACGTGGGCGTCCACTTCCGCTGGGCGTGTGACTGGGGAGTCATTTTGACTCGCCTTCTGGCGGGTCCCCGTGGGAAGTCCAGCTGAGGTTCACACAGGTGGCCTGGGAGGGTGGGGCTAGCCCTGGACTTCCCGGGAGGATGGGAGAAGCCACGCACCTGACTAACAGGTGTGCGCGACTGCGGGAGGGTCCCGCCCCCGGCAGCGTCCTCTGGCGGCTTATTTGTTGCTCTGTTGCCGACTGGCTGTGCAGGCAGCCACCAGACTGGGCATTGTCCCTGCTGGAGCTCATGACATCTCACCTGTCTCTGTTTTGCAGAGGGGGGACCCGAGGGTCACAGAGGTCACCCTGTTTGTCAGTGGCTGAGCTGGGACTTCTCAGTTCATGCCAGAGGGGGGAGGGTGTGGAGAGGTCCTGACTCAGCTGGGGGGAGGGGTCCAGCTGTTCCAAGGCCGTGACACCGTTTGGGACCCTTGGCCCAACTGGAGTGACCGGGCTTCCAGGGCAGCCTTCCGTGGAGATGCTTGGTATTTTAGGCAGGTGACAGGGTAATGAGAAGAGGGAAGCCATGGGTTCACGGGTCTGTGTCTGAATCCCAGCTCTCCGGCTCTTCCACCTTTTCACCGTGTGACTTTGGGCAGCTGGCTTCACCTTTCTGGGCCTCGGTCTGCCTCCTGTAAAATGGGCCCAAGGACACCCTTTCTTGGAAAGGGACGCAGTGAATCTCAATGCCAGTGCACCAGAGCACTTAGCACGTTTCCCCGTCTTGGTGTGTAAACGGGGCTGGAGTGTGAGCAAGTGGGGAGGAGGGTGGTGGGGTGGTGTCTGGGCAGCCTGGCCTGGGAGACACCCACATGCATCCCTTAAGGGCCGTTCTTGTTCTTTCTTTCTTTTTTAAAGATTTCTTAGAGAGGAATTTTTAGAGAGGAAGGGAGAGGGAGAGAGCACAACATCAATCTCAGAGCGAAGTA